ACCTCCTAACACAAAATAATGGATTTTTGGTCATTTAACATTAAATGCATCCAGATATAGGTACACAAATACCAAACGAACATATTTGTTTCTAGATACAAATTATGGACGCATAAAGCAAAAACACAAACGAACATCATTTGGATGTTGCGTCTAGGTACTACGTCTAGATGTTGTATATAGATACTGCGTCGAGATACTCAAACAAACAGCACCAAAGTCTTGGAAATCAATTTTGTGTTTGTGGTATTTGTGAAATATTTGAAAAATGATGATATTTCTGAAACATTTAAAAATTATGGTATTTTTTGGAAACCCAACTCTAAAGTGTGGTACTGTTGACACAGTAGAAACCATATTACGTCTGAGAATACAATCATTGCTACAACAACTACTAATCTGGAATTTCCAAATGCTTATGTGTTTACAGCTACATCGGTTACAGTCCCTGACACATATCTGAAAGTAGCTTCACCCATCGATGAAGTTAAGGACCCATGTATTGATTTTTCTGAGTGCTTGATTGATGGAGATGATCCTATGGAAATGAGAGCTCACATCCAACCTTCTCAAGTCTTCAACATGACTGCTTCAGCTCAGCGGATCTTGCGGAAAAGGCCGGTAAAACCAATCCAAAAGATGCAAGAGATGGAGGGGAGTATTGTTGTAAGTCGAGGAAGAAGTGGTCGTCGAGGTGGCCACAAGTGATCTCTCGGAATTTCACTACTTGTTATTCCTTTTCTCTTTAGCTTGCATGTATTTTAAGGTTCGTACCTGGTTTGCTTATTTATTCTCTATAACTACTCTACGAACTGTATGATCGTAAAGATCATAGCCTTGTACTAGTTATTTTGCATTTTCAATAGAAAAACAAAAAAAACTCTAAAGTGTGGTGGTACTTTAGAGAATTACTCTTTATTAATTTTGAGGTAATCCATATTGAAGACGTTGCGTTTCTTTTAAAAAATGGGCTTTTGTTGACGAAATAAATTAGTGTGGAGTATTGGGCGTCTTCTAGAAAACTCGGGAAAGATCGCCGGAGACGGTGTCGGATTCTCTCTCCGTCTTCCAGAACCTCCTTAATTCTCACGACGCGTAGCACAAGGTTGCTCGATTTTGAGATCAATTCTACAAAACCTAAATTTTCCGAACCAATGGAGCAATCAGTTCCTCCGAAACCTCCCCCGATGCAGTTACCTTCTCTTCCGAGCTCCGTCGAAAGTTCAAGAGACCTTCAATGTGTCGGTAAGATGGAGATCGTCCGTCAGAAACCTCTCGGGTTTCTCTGCGGTTCAATTCCTGTTTTAGCCGATGGATCTTTTCCTTCTCTCACTTCTGCTCTCCTCCCGTCTCAGGAAACGTCAGTTTCATCTCTCTCTCACTTGTTCATACTGCTGTTCTGCTTCCACTTTGAATGAATTTTTTGTTGTTGCTTGCGTTGGAATTGCAGAGTGAGTGCTCCGAGATATCGTATGCTTCCGATGAAGACGGATCTTAATCGGCCTCCTCTGCTAACGGATTTTCCCGAGAAGGTTTTACCTCTCGCCGCCGTCAAGTCTAGGATCACCGGAGGTATGTTTTCTCTTTTCCAAGGTTTCCTCAAACATCTGAATTCTGGGTTTTAAAGTTTCCTGAGTTGAATTCAAATCCGTATTTTAGTTGATTAGTTTACGCTTGGTAGCTCCACTTTCAGTATCTCTGCAATTCTCAGTTGTGAATATTTTGTGAGTATTATAAGACAGATATGATTCATATGAACGACTTATAACAATGGTTTTCTTAGTGATCTAGCTCTAATTGTGCTGTTGGTCCTACTGTTCTATTTCGTTTCCGCAACTAAGGCTGGTTGGTATGGTGCTGTTGTTTTCGCGTGACAGGAATATCTAAGGAGGCTAATGTCGTTCCTTCGAACCTTAGCAAGAAATGTGAAGCCCTTGCTGTGTCTGGTTTAGTTGAATATGGGGATGAGATAGACGTAATCGCCCCAGTTGACATTCTTAAGCAGATTTTTAAGATACCTTATTCGAAAGCTCGGGTTTCCATAGCAGTTCAGCGGGTTGGACAGACTCTCGTCTTGAACCCTGGGTGCGTCTTTTACTTATTCCGTTTTTTTCTTTACATTGTGTGAATTTCAATGGGAAGCTGTGATGGAATCCTCTTGTGTGATGCAGACCTGATGTTGAAGAGGGAGAAAAACTGATTAGGAAACACAATAATCAACCAAAATGTACAAAAAAGGAGGATGAATCTTTGTTTCTGAATTTTGCTATGCATTCAGTGAGGATGGAGGCGTGTGATTGCCCCCCGACCCATCGCCCACATACAGAGGGACAGTCGAGTTCTTCTGCCCTTCCCGCTGGTGAGAACTCCCGTGGGATTCAACAAAATGGCGATAGTGCTCCAGACGATATACTTGACAAACCTGCAGGGAGTAGTAAACAATTTAAACAGGATGGTTTTATTTGTGAGAAGAAGAAGAACAAAATGAAAAACAGGGCACGTGAGCCTGTAAAAAAAAATTCACAAATCGGTGAAAAGATCAAGCCTTCAGGAGAATCTGAGAAACACAGAAGAGGTGGGAGCAATGAGTTTTTAAGAGTTCTATTTTGGCAATTCCACAACTTCCGTATGCTTTTAGGAAGTGATCTACTTCTTTTCAGCAATGAAAAATATCTGGCTGTGAGTTTGCACTTATGGGATGTTAGCCAACAGGTTACTTCTAGCTTCTGAGTGGTTATGATTTTGTATCTTTTCATAAGAGTTGTTATTAACAATTCTCTTATCAATTTCCACAGGTTACACCTTTAACCTGGCTTGAAGCTTGGCTTGATAATGTAATGGCTAGTGTGCCCGAGCTAGCAATTTGCTATCATCAGAATGGTGTTGTCCAAGGGTATGAACTTCTGAAAACAGATGATATATTTCTACTGAAAGGCATCTCTGAAGATGGAACACCAGCCTTTCATCCTCATGTTGTTCAGCAAAACGGCCTTTCTGTTTTAAGGTTTCTTCAATCAAATTGCAAAGAAGATCCTGGAGCTTACTGGGTAACTTTATAATTCTCTGCCAAACCATTATATCTTTTGTTAGAATTGTTTGTTTACTCCAGTTGATTTGGTTATCTCCTTTTCAGCTCTACAAAAGCGCTGGTGAAGATGTGATTCAGCTCTTTGATCTTTCCATTATTTCGAAGAACCACTCTTCTAGCGATCACAATGACAGTGCAAGCGAATTGCCGTCTTTAATTGACAGTGGGAGAAGTGACTCAATGTTTTCTTTAGGAAATCTTCTTTATCGTGTCGGTCATAGGCTTTCTTTATCAGAGGTAAGGAGACGGGGAATTACTATACAGGAAACATCAGTAAGAACGTAACTGCTCTTGTTTGACACTTTGCATCTTTTGCAGGTGCCAAATGATAGGACCAAGTGTGCTAGGTTCCTCAGAAAGTGTTTGAATTTCTTGGATGAGCCTGATCATCTGGTATTAATCTTAATACGATATTTTGAAATCATTAAGTTGTTCTCTTTTAAAAATTTTGATCGGTACTCATTAGTGATACTATGATGGATAGGTTGTTCGAGCATATGCACACGAACAGTTTGCAAGGCTCATTCTGAATAACGACGAGGAATTTGATTTGACTTCTGAATCTAATAATGTGCAACGTGAAGTTGAAATAACAGACCTAGAGGAGGAGTCACTTGATCCTGTTACCACTGTTGGCCATGAGAGTGAGGCAGTGGTTATTTCAGAGGACAAGTTCACTGAAAATGACTCGATCTCTTATTTATCTCCTATAATATCTGTTAGACCGAAGTTGCAAGCAAATGTATCAGCTTGCAAGGAACTCTTACATTCAGATCGTCCAGAATCTCATGATGTTGAAAGCTCTGTTGTGGACTCCAGTACGGATACTAGTTTCGATGTTGGTCAGGTATGCCAAGCTTCTCCTCTATTTCACACTAAAACTAGTTTGATTTCATCAAAACTAACAGCAGCTCATCATGTTTCTCAGGCTATAAAGTCTCTTAAGTTGGAAGCAAATGTATTACCTTGCAAGGAACTTGTACGTTCAGATAGTCCAGATTCCCATGTTGCTGAAAGTTCTATTGTGAAATCCAGTTCGGATACTAGTGTTGATGTTGGTCCGGTATGTCAAGCTCCTCCTCTGTTTCAGACAACAAGTAGTTTGATTTCATCAAAACTAGCAGCAGTTCACCATGTTTCTCAAGCTATAAAGTCTCTTAGATGGACACGGCAACTACAAACTTCAGAACAGGAGGATGCATTTCATGGTGTCTCGCCTTCTGTCAATTTTTCCAAATGTGCATGTGGTGATCCTGATTGTATTGAGGTCTGTGATATCCGTAAATGGCTTCCAACATCTAAACTAGATAGGAAATTGTGGAACCTTGTTCTGCTTCTCGGTGAATCATATCTGTCTCTGGGGGAAGCTTACAAAGAGGATGGACAGTTGCACCAGGCTTTGCGTACTGTGGAATTAGCATGCTCCATGTACGGATCAATGCCACAGAAGTTTGAGGAGACTGTGTTTGTTTCCTCGATGAACAAGGGTCTTTCACTTCGGTCAAAATCCCAGGCATCAACGCAAGTGGAAAATTTAGATGCAAAATCAGGGACATGCGACATCAGCATTGGGGAACTTTCATCAACACGCTTCTTCTGGGCCAAAGTATGGATGTTAGTTGGGGACATATATGTTGAGTTCCACATTCTTAAAGGTCAGGTGCTCTCCAGAAGAGAAGAGGGGACATCTACCAATAAGTTAAGAATGCCGTCTGAAGTAGTAAAAGAAGTACATAGGCTCAAGAAGAAGTTATCTGAGTACAGTAAAAATTGTGTCTCATGTTCGTTAGCAAATTGCAGCTGTAAGAGTGACAGAGCAAGCAGTGGAAGCAGTGCAAGTAGCAGCAATGGAAGAAGTGCCCGTACGGGGCTGCCTAGCAGGAAGCACAAAAGAAAATCACAGTCCAAGAATGTTGCCAGCAGGCTCCCACAAACGGTTGAAAATGAACGTGTTAATTTCACAGTTGAGAACATGAGTCATAATGAAGAAGATACATCAGTGGGAACAAAGGAAGCTGTGCCTCTTGAGCAGAATGAATTCAACTCTAAGGAAACCACAGGAGTAAAAAAGGGTGGAATATTCAAATATCTCGAGGGATCTAAGACTGATGATGCAGAAAGTAATCTTTTGGCTGCCTTAAACTGTTATGAGGAAACTCGAAGAGCACTGCAGGAACTTCCAAGCAGCTGTAATGAGTTCCAGTCTGTTATTCGAAAGAAAGGGTGGGTGTGTAATGAACTTGGTCGGAACCGACTTGGAAGCAAAGAGCTAAAAAAAGCTGAAGATGCTTTTGCTGATGCCATAGTGGCATTCAAGGAAGTTTGCGATCATACCAATGTTATACTAATCAACTGCAACTTGGGTCACGGACGACGAGCTCTAGCTGAAGAAATGGTTTCAAAGATGGAAGCACTCAAACTCTATCCTGCATTTAAAACTGCTTACCAACAAGCTTTTGAGACTGCAAAATCAGAATACAACAAGTCGCTTAGGTATTACATGGCAGCAAAGACAGAACTCGGTGTTGCCAATGAAGATGTCAGTTCTGTTCCTGACAATCTCAAAGATGAAGTCTACACGCAGCTTGCTAATACCTATCTCAGATTTGGAATGCTTTTAGCAAAAGAGGACACATCTGCTGCAGCTCGTGGTGGACAAAAGAGAATCTTGGAAAACACTCATGATTCTTTTTCTGATGTAAGATCAAGGGATTTGAGAAAACATGAACTATCCGCCAGTGATGCTATGGGAGAGGCACTGGCTCTATACGAATCTCTTGGGGAAATACGCAAACAGGAAGTTGCATTCGCTTACCTTCAATTAGCAAGGTATCACAATGATTGTTGCTTGAGGTTTCTGGAGATAGAGCGTCAAGGAAGCCCTCCTAAAGCCGAGACTAATGTTTTCCAGAGAGCCAAACAATATGCTTTGTTGGCAGATAAGAATTGGCAGAATTCTGTGGACTTCTATGGCCCCGAGAATCATCCCTCCATGTTCCTGACAATTCTTATAGAGAGATCGGCTCTTTCCATCAGCCTTTCAAACTTTTGGCAATCAAACACTGTAAGTGAACGATTCCTTTGTGTGTTTCTGGACTTGGACAATTGACATTCATCTACTAAATGGCTTATATCTTTACCTTCTCTTTTGTTTATGCTTCAGATGCTTGATTCAGCTTTGTCTCGCCTGCTCGAAGGCCGTCTCATTTCCAAAACATTTGCGGAATCACTGAAAAACGATGACCCCGAGCTTTACCTCAAATTTTGGGTGCAATTGCAGATGGTTCTAAAACGAATGCTGGCCTTGTCCTTACCAACGGGAGGAGCAAACAAGTCTCAAAGCTCTGGTAGATCAGGGGACTCTGGGAAACTAAGAGAACTATATAAAACATCACTGAAGTCAACAAGCCTGGACGACTTGAATGCAATGCATGTCTTGTGGGCATCATCATCTTAAAGAAACCCAAAGTATGTTCTCTCCTCTGCTTCTGATGTTGATCTGTCGATACATTTAGCTTTGATATTCCTTATGACAACAACATTTGTAACTATAATACAATGTTTATTTTCCTCCGGTTTTAGGTAACAACAACAAGATATTGAGGATGACGAGTTTTACACCATAGAAAACATATTTTTGTATTTGTTTTTGATCGAAACCATGTCAAACTTATTTGTGTTATAAAATGGTAGTTCAATGGAAGTGAGTTTCTCAAAAATGTATGCAAATAGAGAAGAAATGTTTGTATTTCACAGGTGATATTGTGAAGCACAAAAGAGTGATGTTGAGCCAAGGACGCACATATATGAAATAATTGCAACTATGCTAAAAATATATATGAACCATTGTCAATTGCGAGCACGATTTGGAAAAAGGGTTGGTAAATTGGTAAAGGTTCGTGTACACTCTGTCACGGACTTTTGAGTTGTAAGTTGTAACGAATAGTTTTTGCAGATTATTTTTATTGAAAAATCGATTCAATTTATTCTGAATAATTAAAATGTTCTTTTTAAATAAATTGGTTAAACATCTTATATGATTCAAATTCGTCATTTTTCCATAAATCTCCTTATAAATTGAATATATTACTTGACTAACGTATGAAGGCTTGTTCATTTTTGGATAATAGATAGAATACAGATAATTATAGTATAAAAGTTGCAATTTCAAGGTGTGCTCTTTAAAAGATGGATAAAACTATATGGATAATTCGAATATTTAAAATCATTATCTAAATAGATAAATATCATATGTCTTTAAAGATATTTTTTTTTTAAAAAAAATTGATAATTTTGAAAAAGGGTGAAAAATTAGATGAATTTCAGAAATGCACATGCATAGAATGTAACGACGTAGTCACGTAGCATAGGAAGTGACATTTCCTAGCAGCAACTTTATCCTTTTGAAGAGGTCAAGATACCTTTCCTTCTTTTATTCACAAATTGTGTTCGGGCGATATATGATAATCAATTATTGCTGTCAAATCAAAACGTGTTTCTAATTTTCTTAATGATATTTTTTTCTGTTAATTAAATCAAGGACATTGTAGTAGTAATGTACGGTTTACTCCCCTATCTAATAATTTATTGGGGCCATAATAATAAATTAGACAGAAAAAATACAACTGGATTCAGAAGAATCACAAGTCTCTCTTATAATGAAGGCAATTTAAGAACGGACTGAGTCGTGCAGATAAAGTGGGTCCAAGTCATGTAAACGTGTTCTCCATTATCCACCAATCTTCTCTAAATTTGTACGACCAAATAAATTATATTGCTAATGGCCACTTGATTGTTTCTATAATATATCTGGTTTCCTCGACGATATTTTAATTAATTTCTTTTGCATATACTTTTTTTTTATTTATTATTATTGTTTTGCTTCTACTACGTTAGGCCGCCACAACCTGATTTTTTTTTTTTTMTTTAAAGACCACAACCTGAATTTGCTAGTATATGTTAGCGTTTAGTTTGACTTATTCCATCATATAAACCAATAACATTCACTTCTTTTATTTTTGTATTACACAAATATATTATGAAATCAGACCTGAAAACCAAGCCGAGGGACAAATATTAACAAAACAAAAAAAAGTTTCTTCATGTATGTTT